CCGCCACGGTTTGTGGTTGGAAATTTATTCACTGTATACAAGGGGCTCGATGAGAAACGAGAGCAGTTTTATAAGAAAATGTCCCTGCCGTTTACCGTAGTGTGTTCTCATGTAGTCGAGGGTTGTGTATTACTGAAATGTGATCGAGATATAACGACATTGATGACTGACTCTAAGAAGGTCAGTTTAGAAATAAAATGGCTTGATTAGTCATGCATGGAGCTTTTCGTATTTGCAAGTTTAATTTTGCCAACAAAAAATGCTAATAGAGACAATCCACCGAGGGCTATCCGGGCGGTGGTGGTGACTCTTTGTAAAATGATAAAAAAAATTATGTAATGTAGGGAATATCGAACGGGTGTCAATAAAAAAAACAAAGCCAAGTTCCATAACGTAAACCTACCATCTGCTGTTTTTTCCTGTCCTCTCTACCGCTCGAGACGTCGAATTTTAGCGATTTAACCTTGATGAGGTTGTTATGTTACACATACACGTGTCAATCCGCTCATATGGGTGCCCTGTGGGCAATCCTATGCTTTTCCCTGAAATTTTATCCTTAACGCCAAAGTTTAGAAATAGCTTGTTGGTTTGCACAGAATCCTTGCATTTCTCAACGCCGATATTCCGCATCGATAATTGCTTGCCTCTGGTTTATCACCTTAAGTTCGACACGGCGTCTGAATCAACCATCGCTAAAAGTCACTCAAGGTCGAAATTATTCAGCGAACTAAATCCTCGGCACCCGAGTGAAACGACGTTTGGACCGGCCATATTTGACGATACAGAAATCTTGTCCAATGTCGTGTAACCCCTTATGGTAAATTTGTCCATAATATACTCTTCAATTAAATTCTTACCTGTCGAAGTTTTCTAAGTGGCGAGGGCTCTCGGATTCCATATTCCATAACATATCTATTGACTGGGCTGAGTTCAGTGTGGGTCTTGCCGAGTTTAAAGAGTGAATTGCCCCTACGTCCCAAAACCCAAGCAGTAACAAATCCTACTGCTGCTGATGATAGTGCAATCCCTCCGATCAATAACTTGTTTTCGCTCAAAAATGACATCGCTCTTGAAATTATTCACACTAATGTGATTTACTCTGCGTCTGGATCCAGAATTGCATAACCATTCTCTCAAGCATGACAACATGTGACATTCTCTTTAAATTTACATGTATACTTTGAATAGATTTACAAGGCGAAAAACTTTCTGGGGGTCCCCTCAATTTTCGATGACCACGAGTCTTAACCCACGGGGTATCCGAACTCAGTCGTACAATAACAGGAGCCCATGACTGTGCAGGAGCCCATGAGCCATAGCATAGTCATGGCTCCTGCGTGTGACGAGAAGCGTTGCGTGACGCCGTGACGTGAAGGGCCTTATTTTTCGAACATTAATGAACAAGCGAAGAGCAATTAGAAATTTACTGTATTACATACTGGCATGAAGTTGGAATTTCCTATTGAAAAGGTTCAATCCCATCCTCTCAGGTTACCTTACGCTTTGAGTCAGCTAAAATATTACGAAACAGCGGTCACGGCGAAATGTGTCAGTCCACTGGGAATTTAAGGTGGAGGGAATAGACAGGGCTCCTGAACAGAGAGAGTATTACTGTTTCCTAAAGCATGTCCATCTAGTAAATATTCCATACAAAATCCTATTTTTCAACGAAATCACTATCACGCAATACTCACAATCGACTGTGGTTAGTCTAAACAATAAGCGGGGTGTACACGACTGAATGGGTCATTTTACCTGGGGCAGTTTGTTGCCCCATTTCAGACTATGTGATCATACTCTTGAGAATTCTAGCTTTCAAATTTTCAAATATTCGTGTGTATAAGAATGAATAATTTTAAGATGGATAAAGGAACAATTCTCTAGAGAATATTACGTGGTCTGTAAGGCCTACAATTGTAGTTCACACTAGCGACATAACGACATGCTAGCTTTATTTCGCAATGTGAATATCGACATAAATGCATAGGAAACCAGTTTTTTCGTTGTCACTATCTGTGTCATTATGTTTATGCTGTTATGTTGCTATTATGTTATTATGTCAGGATGTTCACACAAGATTACGACAAAGTGTCCTTCGAATGTAGAATTCTTATTTGTTTGTTGTTTTTTGTTCTATTTTGCACTAAAAAGTGAAAAACAAAAACAAAAACAAAAACAAAAACACCGCTTGGTTGAACTTTTGCATGCCAGTTCAAATGAAGTGAAACGTTTTATTCTTGTCTTAAAACTGATTTTTCGTAATCGTGTCTATATTTCATAGCATTTCTTGGAGTGAAAGGAACTTTTGATCTTCCCCTTTCATACTTTTCATCAGTATAAAATGCGTTCTGCGTGCCTTGCCTGTCAACCATAAATATTGGGTTATGTTGAATGCTTCAAGAATCTGCACAGACTTAACTGGAGAGTTGCGAATGTTTGAACACGTATTTTCTTATGCTCGCGTCTCGGCAAGCGGAATACACCGTGTTGGCAGATCTACAAATGCTATACACTGGGTCACAATCAGGACCAATCAACTCCCAGCTTGTTACTTCTCCTCTTCGTCCTTGGGTTAACAGTTCTGCACTCCAACAAAAACAGGACCCATCTCCTATAAATAAGAAAGATAACGAAAAAATGTTCATACAAATTAGGGGAATAACTCCATTCCAATCTAGTTCCTTGAAATCGGAATGAATTAACATGGGTAACCTGGGTAACTAGAACCCAGTGACAGGTCATCAGCTGCCTTAGATCAATTAACACTTGAACAACTATAATATTTACCTTAAGTATTTTTAAAAATCATTTGAGTTAGCATTCCCATGAGTTGTTCTTCACCTGCACTATAAAGCATTTTATTGTCTAGACTTCTCATAGTTGCCTGAGGTCAGATACCGTAAAAAGTTTGCTCCATATCAAGACTTTCCATAGAGTTCTAACACCCATTTATAGTCCTGGGTGGAAAGAGGCACTGCCTTGTCCAAGAACACACAGTGACCCCACCCAGCCAAAACTCAGAATTCTGAACCCAATGCAGTAGGTATGACACGATTTCCCGCCCCACCCCCCCGTCCCGCTGTTTACCTATGCCACTTCGTGTCCAAATTTATAGCATCAGAAGGTACCCGAAAGATGAAAGAGCGGCTTTGTGACCACCGACATTCACCAATCTGAAGTTGCTTCAACTCACCTGTAGAAGCTAGAAATCCGCGATCGCCAAGTTTTGAGAGAGAAAGTACGGGCGAAGCTGAACGACGAAATACACCAACTGGAAAACTAAAACAAAAAATAAATAAACAAACAAACACAAAACAGTTAGTCTTAAAACATTCATCACTGGTGGGGAAGGGAAAGCAAGGATGGAGGAAAGGTTCTGTCTCAAACGTTTTTCCCCGTGCGTTCCCAATTCCTCTAATTTCCAGTATCTCCCCCTCCCTCCAACCAGCCCCCGCTCATCTTGTCTAACAAACAAAACTTCTTGGACTTGTTCCAATGTCCGTTCCACCTGGGTAGAAGTTTCACCCCATCATAAATATACATCACAGATGCTTTAACGTAGACAGGTTCCTTAGCCAGCTGTGACACCAGCTGCAATCATTTCAAAAATGAAAGCCTTTCATTGTAACTTTCATAAAACATCAACAACTTGACTATTTCAGCCTGCCAGCAGGCTCACCTTTGAGTCAAACGCGCCAGCGGCGAACAGCGAAGTCGCGAGCGAAGCGATCCTGCGGGGAGGAGTCTGGTAAAGAGGCGAAAAGAAAGCCTCGAGTCTGCGCGGCTCGCGCGCTGCTCCCCAAACGTGAGCCAGAACTATTTTCATTGAAGCGTTTATTTCACGAAAGAAACAGAAGTTTTCTTTTTTTTGCCTCCAGTGTTATGGTAACATAACAGGTGTGGAAACACCTTTTAACGGTTTAGGTTTCTCTTTCGTTAGCCTAAACAACCCCTTGTGTAATCATAACTCTGGAAACACGGAAAGCTATTCCTTCCAATCACTAAGATTGGCAGCTGCGATTTTTCATAACAATAATAAACATCGAGCAGTGTAGCTTGGGAGTTACCAAGTAACTAACAGAAATACACTGGCATACGATTAACTGAAGAGTACCTCACTTTTAGAACCGTGCGAGGTCACGAAATACCGTTCAGAAAGACGCACAGCTTGTCAACGCAAAAATTACATTGTGAAGGTTGAAGTTGATTAGTCTCATGCAGCTAGCTTTAAGAGAATGCTTGTGTCCATCATGATAGTCTTGATCTAAGGTTCTTCAAGATCTATATTACCCTACACGTCCATTTTGCAGATTCAAAGTTGTGTTGGTTATCTCGTTTAAGGAGGAGTATGGGTAAACTTTTATGAATTGGAAAACTGATGTTAAAGGAGGAATGAAAAGGAAAAACCTGGGTAATAAAAGAACGCTGATAAACAGGCTACCCTCAGCCCGAGAGCTCTTCAGGTTGAGGATACTCTGTTTTGGTGTCCATCTATAAATCATCAACTAAAGAACCTGATTTCAAATCTGCATTAATTTTTTTTCTCTATTACTTTTCCTGTTTTAGTCTTTTGCTCTTTAACGTTTGTAACTCAAAGCTTTTCCTTGGGCGTTTGTTCTTTATTTTGAATTTTTGTGTACGTGTGTTTGGATTCGTTTGTCACGTTGTGTCTCGTAGCCTCCTGATCGGTAAACCCAAGATGTCCTCAGGTTCTGTATTAAGCTGGAATTTTTCGAGCCGTTGTAGTTTAGTTGCAAGAAATGTCCGTCAGGGTGATGAAAGATTTAGCTTGAATTCAACTAGAATAAAGAAACATTAGCTAGGATTCTCCAGCTGGTTGGACTTCGAGTTGAGCCCAAATAACTTTCTACAAGTCAGTCTAAACAGCCGATTCCGGTTAGCCTAAATAGCATATCGTTTAGTAGCCTATCAGGGTGTCGATTAACTTCCTGTAAATAGCGCTCTGGTTAGCCTTAATAGCGTCCAGGTTAGTTCAAACAACACTCTGCAGGAGAGCCTATTTTCGGTTAGCTCTCAACAATGATAATGGCGACACTATGGTAACACTGTAGCAGTTTCAAAAAAGTTCACAACCTTACCAACGTGATGAACATTTATGATAGGTAAGGCGATCGTTTGTATGCTGACCGCATGACACTTCAATTATATCATTTATCGAAATAGTTTACGATATATTTGACAGTCTATTTCAAACAAGACTACACTGGATTGTTCAGTTCAATGGCTAAGCTGATTGGACTGTTTATTTTTAAAACACAGCACATGTAGTCTTGTTCCCGGATCTCGTGTACACACATGCACCGTGGAAAACCCAAGAGTAATTTTTCACTGGCTGAGTGAAATGAAATAAGTCAAAAACGTTTTTCTCACACGCCGCTGGGGCCTGGGTATAGGTCATGTGACCTTTGGGGCGGGCAGTTGTTTTTGGTGTGTCTGCCATTGCCGACTTTCCCGCCCACCCAAAGATTTTAAGTTTTCATATTATACCAGTATAATGCACAAACCTTGAACTTTTTCGTCATTTCCAGTCTTAAGCGTGATGCTACTTGTATTAGCTTTGATTTTGCAATAATGGCCAGGCGGCGGCGGGTAGCTTGACATGGCTAGTAGCGGTGTGTGAGAAAGTTACTTTCTACCAATTTTCGCTGGTGTATTCCGAAGGGAAGGAAAAATCTTCATCGATGACTCGTAAATTTAAGTCTCACCATAGCTCAGGGCAATAGGTGACTTGAGTTGACTGTTCGTCAAACTAAAGACAAGTATTTTTCACGTCTATCCGTCACTGGTTTTCAATTGATATCCTACATCCCTGTTCATTACCAACCTTGGAGATCTCACGTCCAAAATCCACAGGCATCCATCCTCTGTTCCACCGACAGCTTCATATTCCGACAAAAATGCACAGCAGTTCACGGCTGACGGACACTTAAACTGAAAAACCTAAACATTGAAGCAACAGAAAAGTATCAAACATTTCTCTTCGAAAAAAAGTTCAGTTCAAAGCCTACAAGCCAAATTCTCATAGTTTTGTTTGCGAAATAAAATAGAATAAAATATCATAAGAAAAAATAGTCGCCCGAAACGCTGACAACGACATCACATATCAATGTCCACTTTGTGAAATTGGATGGGCGTTGTTTCCAAAGGAAATTTGAAGCCCAGATACTATTCGGATAAAAAGTGTTGGAATAAACAACGTCGTTTGAGACAATTTTAGTCATTTGCAAAAATATTACAGAGAAATTAAAAATTAAAATATCCGGTTGGCTGTAAAGACAATTGAAAGTAACATTTTCTACAAAACAACTGGGTACCTTTTTCCTATTATACACATCAACACCATCAAGAAAGCCGTCTTCCTTTGCAAGCAGGAGTAATTTTCCTTCAGTTCCAACCTCGCGTTCACCTTGGAATTAGAATACTGCAGATCTAAAATGCTATATTGGAGGAAGTTCTAATTGTAACCGAATAACCGCATATCAACTTGAGTAAAACGTGTCTTCATACAGAAAAGATCACATAACCTAGACGACGACCATTCCCCTCTGTGTTCAATCTTTTGAGACTGTTTTGAACACTTGTTGTCTCTTTCCACATTTCGCTTACAGTCAGAATGGTAGCAGTTGATAATCAGAATATAGACTGTTCAGTCAGGCCCCATTACGGGGGAAGAACCTGAGCATCCAATGTACCGTTACTTTTTGACCTTAATATCCCGCATCCCGTTCAGTTAACCTTTCAAAAATGAACAATTTCTCCAAGCCTCCATTTTATGCCGCGGAACTCGCCCGATCAAAATGCGCTCGCTCGCTAAGATACGCCTGCATTCCAGTCAAGATTTAGCAGAGAAGGGACTGGTAGCGATGTATTAATGAGGTGGTGGTGGTGATGGTGGTTAGGGAGGGGTGCACCTCGGGGTTAGCTGAAAACGCTTACTCCGCTTCCCATTTACCATCCCTCCTTGTTTTTTGTCTCCAGTCACACTCTCGTAATCCCTTTACTAGCCTGCAGAACAGGCGTAATTTTTTTGCGTATTTTAGGCGATAGCGAGGCGAGCGCGAAAAAAAAAAGTTATTTTTTTCGCGCTGTTCCCCTCACGCGCGACTCGCGCTTGGCGCTCGCCTCGCTTTTGCCTCTGTTCGCCTAAAATACGCAAAAAATTACGCCTGTTCTGCAGCAGACTATCCCTTTACTGGTCCTCATTCCTTTCCTGGGTTTAGTCCAAAACAGTGACCGCAGAGGGGGAGGGGCTGGTAGGACTGTAACCCTGCCACGTTTTTTTAGCGCCCAAGATGACATGGAAAATGTATGAAGTTTACCACCTGAAAGTAACAAACGTCTGAACAGTGACCCCTAATACTTTTTAGCCCTACCACTTTAAAATTGTCCCTGCAAAAGAATAGTTTTTAGGCGAAGAAAGCAAAAATGCACAATGAGGCTCTTAGATCATTATTGGTTGTAAATGGAATCTTACTTGTTTGGTTCTCCGATGTGTTTTCCATTCCATGAAGCTCTGTTAATGCACATGAATTTACAGGACAGTCACTTTTGGACACAACTGCCAGACACTTGGCTTCTCCGCAATCCCACAGACGAACAGTTCCATCTCTAGAACATGCTGATATAATCAAACAAGAACAAGAATACAGCCGGGCATCAGCGCAGAGAGTGCAACTTGAAAATTTATCCGCATCCTTTTACGGGTGACTATAAAATAAATAGGACTAAGAACCTAACAAAACACTTGACGGGGTTTGATGAGCTTGAGAAATCTTGAAAGTTGTGCGAGCCATACATGTAGGTGAGCTTGTTTAAACCAAACCACTTTACCTAACCATGTCTATTCTACACACAGCTGCACGCAAAACTCTTAGAAATTGAACATCAATGTTTGCCAAATTTGAAAGATATATTGTATATGTACATGTAGCTGATGCAAACCATGGGAAAATGTGTGTAGTGTAGTTCCTTTCAACACTCAGATAAAACCTGCTGTATGTAACATAACTTACACAAAATGTTCCTTCCTCGATCAACTATTGCTGTATCAACAACTCCTACAAAAGCAAAATACTATTAGAATGAAAATGAAAATTAAACAGGAATCTTCCAATGGAAATTGATAAAAAGCTTGGTTGACTGCAAATACAAATATGTGCTTTAGAAAAATAAGGTTATAAAAGAGGCTATAGAAACGTTTCACTTGCTATCAATCAATCAATCAATCAATCAATCAATCAATCAA